CGAAGGTATGTCATGGACGAGGAAGGGGGGCTGGGGTGTCCGGCTAGGAGGGATGAAGGTAGGTGATGGAGGAGGAAGGAGGGTTGGGGCGTCCGGCTATGGTGGATGAAGGTAGGTGTCCGGCTATGGTGGATGGAGGTAGGTGATGGAGGAGGGAGGAGAGTCGGAGTGTCCGGCTATGGTGGATGAACGTAGGTGATGGAGGAGGAAGGGGGGCTGGGGTGTCCGGCTATGGTAGATGGGCGGGAAGGAAGGCCCGTTGGACGTCTCCTAACTCCTAACCCCGTGCCCTCTTTCGTAGATCCCTGGTTTTCGGCCTCGCGTGCCCCCTTGCAATAGTGATAACATTCCTTTTCATGACCGTAGTCTTCCAAGCGAGGGAGCAACAAAAAATGATCCGTCGACGCTTACCCAAGCATTTAGAGCAATAAAACGGCAATGTGAGCAACACCCTACCCGGGGACTAAAAAACGAAGTATCACCGGGAGAACAGCCGCCTATTCATGCACATAGAATCAGCAAACGGACAATGTGAACAGCACCCTACCCCGGGGTTTGAACAACGAAGTACCACCGGGTGAACAGCAGCCTGCTCGCGCACATAGAACAGCAAACGGACAATGTGAACAGCAMCCTACCCCGGGGTTTGAACAACGAAGTGCCACCGGGTGAACAGCAGCGTACTCATGCACATAGAACAGCAAACGGACAATTTGAACAGCACCGTACCCCAGAGATTGAGCAGCGAAGTACTACCGGGTGAGCAGCAGCCTACTCATGCACATAGAACAGCAAACGGACAATGTGAACATCACCCTACCCCGGGGATTTAACAGCGAAATACTACCGGGTGAACAGCAGCCTACTCATGCACATAGAACAGCAAACGGACAACGTGAACAGCACCCTACCCCGGGGTTTGAACAACGAAGTACCACCGGGTGAACAACAGCCTACTCATACACATAGAACARCAAAAGGACAATATTTGAAGCATCCTATGAAGAGAGGACATCACCGAAGTATCCCGAAGTGGAGCGCCTCACACCCAAGCATCCCGATCAGCAAAATGACAAGTTTTGCACCATCTACACTAGGGGAAACATCACCGAATTATCAAGAGATGAAACGCAACACACATAGGCATCCCAATCAGCAAGATCACAAGTTTGATCTCATCTACACTAAGGGAAACATCACTGAACTATCAAGAGATGAAGCGCATCACACATAGGCATCTCAATCAGCAAGATCACAAGTTTGATCTCATGTACACTAGGGGAAACATCACCGAACTATCAAGAGATGAAGCGCATCACACATAGGCATCCCAAGCAGCAAGATCACAAGTTTGATCTCATCTACACTAGGGGAAACATCACCGAACTATCAAGAGATAAAGCGCATCACACATAGGCATCCCAATCAGCAAGATCACAAGTTTGATCTCATCTACACTAGGTGAAACATCACCGAACTATCACTA